CGCGCAGTCGACGGGGACCGTTGTTCCAACCAGAAGAATGCCCGCCGACTACCGCATTAACGAAAGCGACGTGAAAAGTAGGTATGTGTCACGCTTGACTTGCTGGGTCCTCTTGGGTTGTCAGAAGAGTCCCTCGTACCGTGTCATGGAAAAAATGGGCGATCTCCGCCCCTAATTACACCAGGAAAAGCAGGAAGCAGTGCGCAGGTTCAGTTAAGTAAAGTGTTCGAAAGGCCGTAGTCGCCTAGATCGTATGGTATCGCCAATAGTGGAAAGATGATGATACTACTACACCTATGCGTTACGGAGAAGGCGTGCCATTTGGCACCGAGGAGTTGCAAAACTCTAGGTCTGGCTCATATCATATCGCAAGACGGTCTGTATATCCAAATCGTACAGCAGCACTGGCATCATGTGAGGTTGATTGACTTTAATCCAGCACCGAGATGGTTCAATGTCCAAACGTTGTAGAGGGATTACAAGCAGGGGACGTGAGCCAATTCTTCAGCGACTGTCGAATCTGCCTCAGCTGTAAAAACAACTGCTTTCCTCCAAGAAAAGTGAATGTATCAGCCCAACGCTTGCACCTCACGCAACATCTGCTTCTTCCACGAAACCCCCAAGATTTTGCACATTCGCCTTCTGCCACCGGACGCTAAGACCAAACGGGTATGCAACGTTTTGAAACTCTTGAAAAGTGTTTGGGAAATCTGTTAAGTTCTAAAAGAGACAGAGAGCTCACCACCGTCTGCAGAATGCAAGTTATTGAAGGTCTAACCCATAGCCCAATCGCCAAACCAAAGTGCTCCATTTTGAAAGACTCGGTCCATCGCTTAGCACTACGATGTAGTCCTTTCATTTCTTGACTTCATCTGGAGTAAATGCCAAAAATGTCTCATTATTCTATAAGTACACATCGTGTTGGTGGACAAGTCTTTCATGAAGCTTAACAGCAACTATGAAGTACATATGCACTTCAGCGTTGGTCTGAAAACTCGCTAATCGATAGAGTTGAAAGTGAACTTCATGTCCATTCAAACAATGTGAAATGGTACTGTTTGTAGTACTGGTAGTAGTATTAGTCAAGCTACCGGTGCACCTGAGCTGACAGACAGAGAGTGAGCACCGCGTCCATTGCCGTAAATATGCCAGGCGTGAAGCTGGCACTACTTTTGTTGCCGATGCTGTACCGGAAGCGGAGTGAACCTTTCCTGTAGTACGTGTGCAGTGCAGAGTCTTTTGCCAGCACAGATATAAAATTCATACGAGGGTAGCAGATGCAGTTAGAATGCGTCCCTCTAATTTTGTGCAGGGCAACTATCTTAGAATCTTTTCAATCAACTGAAGTCTGCTTTGTATTCCGGACTTGTTCATAATGTAGTCAATCATAATTTAATTTTTCAATGAGTTTGCAGTGTTTCGAATCCTGCTGTTTAATCTAAAGTATGCTATTTGAATACCTGCATAATGTGCAACAGGCATTGCACATATTTTTCGATTAGATTCATTGTGGATCTCTGAAGAAATGAGATACTTACGGTGTATCTTTTGGATTAGCGAAACAGGTCAACACCAGATTTGTAAGTACTGTAATAGATTTCGATTATCAGGTTCTAATTCCAAAGTCATAAAGATGTGAATAAAATAAAAATGCGTTGGTTCCTCCAACCATGTCGCATACGACTTGTCTTTCTTTATGTAGAAAGATAGTTGAATAATGAAGCATTTATTCAGTTTTTTTGTCGACCATCAAACTGATACTGTTGCGAATACAGCTACGGATGCGTTTTCGATGTTGCATACTGAATAATACTCAAAACCTAACTTTGCTCATACTGACGACATCGCGCACAATCGTAAATAATTCAGTCTGTTCTAAACAGATTATATAATAAATCAGAAACATGTGTTTATTTCTTGGCTAAAGTCGCTACCACGAAAACATGGAAAATAGACTCATTCTTGTTTTTTAACCACTTTGATTTCCGGACAATCACGTTTTCATGGCAAGAAAAGAAAAATTTATTGAAGTTCGGTAAAACTGAAAACTTTTTATGCATTAAAGCATAAATGCTCATTTACAATTATATAATTAAGCCAATTTAACACTAACTGCAGTGGCATAAGCCTTTGGATGGAACGCCGATCGATTGATTAAAAGTGTTGACCACTTACGCATCAGAAACAAAGCCTGCTCAAGATTGAGTAAGTACCGATTATCCGAATAATCATCGAGTTCGAGGATAGAAAATGTCCTAATAACAGCTATAGTTAAAGTCACTCATTCAGAACTTTACGACGATATTTCACACATTTGAAGAAATTTTCATTTCAGAAAGATAAATTTCCACACCAAATAGTTTCAAAATGACGTAGAAAATGTACTTAAACAGTGATGTATATATTCATGAACTGGTTTTGAATCATGGGGCTATTATTTATGTACTTTGAGTCGAGCATTTATGCATATTTCTCGAGTCAACAAGTTCGATCTGGAAGAAATCATTCTCCCGGTAGCGTCTTTGTAGTCTGTACAGTGCGTCGATTTGGTGAGTCCTTGCTAATGCTCAGCAGTCGTACTTTACATGCTAATTTGAAATGAAAGATCTGTTTCCGGTCAGGTGCAAGCGTTTGAGCTTCGGGCGAAGATAACCTGAGTCTGGAGCGCAGTGTGCGAAGTCACTTGCCCTACGTCATTCTTGCCCTCCAGGGTGTTTCATCGATCTGTTAGGCAAGTAGGATCAAGTAGTTCTGGAAGCTTTCGGAAAATATATTCAAACCATTGCAACAGTGAGGTTCCAATATGAAGAAACGGTGGCTGGACACAAAGAATCTCTCCGGTATCTGTACTCCGTATAACCTCGAGAGGAATGAGCGAAGTGATTCGTCACAGAAAGCCCATTTCAGGTGTCCATACCTCGGATCGAATTTTTTCAGCCATGGTTCATTGCTCATGACCGTATGAAAGCATGGCGATTAAGATCGACTTGAATACTGATAGTTTACTGCTTAATTTTCGGATTCAGCTCTACTTTGGTCACTGCGGTGTGGGCTACTGTCAACAATCTGGGATACGGTTGAGATCTAGACAGGGGTGCTTCGGCCTGTCCTGCTCTTCTTGTGTCTTAGAATCAGTTAAGACAAGCAGATTAAGCTGAACCTTTTTTCTAATACCTTTGTTAAGACTTTTCTCTGGATTTTCAATGAGGTAATACCCTGACAATTGGTACAATCTCTATCTTTTCCCTTCTTTAACAGAGGTGGTGTAGCAGCTGTTCTCAAGTTATTTGTCTTTCCGTAACTACTGTAGTTTGACAGACTTATGCTAGCCTCAATACGCCAGGTTTGCCTAGAGCCTTAAGTACTTCTTACTTTCATCGACTTCAGCAACCCTGACACTTTTCATGCTTTACAACGTCAGTGATTTCATCCACTGAAAGAGCAGTCTACATTGCTCGCTGTTCTTCAGGCGAGTCTTCGTGATGTTGCTCAGGGTCAAGGAATCGTCATGATACTCTATCCATCGCCGCAGTATTTCCTCATCTTAAGAGGGAACCAAGACTTGCTCTTAAAAACCCTTAGACTAATCTTCCTTCCATCTCGGAAGCGGCAGATGGTCTGCCAGAATACTTCGTTTGGCGATGTTACTTCAGTACTTCGGCGATTTTCTCGTAGGACTCTGCTTTTGCTCCGCATTTGAGCTGAATGCCCTTGGCTTCCAAAGCACCTCTTGAATGATTCATTCTTCTAGTTGACCGCCAGTTGAAAATCTCGCCTCTATTAGGAAGATCCTTTCTGACCTCCAGGCGATAAGCGAACTTATCTTAAATCGCAGGATTCCTTGGCAGCCCAAATTAACCGCTCTTAAAGAGTTTCAATTTAGTTTCCACATCAGCGTTTTTCAATGATATCTGTTTAAACCGTCGTGGGATATTGTTTGCAAGTTTCACCCACGTATCCGCACAAGATAATTTAAGATCATTTCCAGTTTTATTCCTTCGTTGCTTCCGTCAGAAGTTTGCATGGTACTCCAATGTTTAAAGCAGAGGGTGCCAACATGAAGGTGATGATCAGTTGACAGCTCTGCGCTTCTTTGAAGATCAATTTCCGTTGCGGAGCATCGTAGATTAAACGATGCGATCATAAAATCGATCGTCGACTTCTGTGCACAAGTGTTCCTCTCTCTGAAGAGAGAAATTTTCGTTTGTGCTTTTGTGGCGATAGCGACAAACACCACCAAACACGGTTAATTAATAACAATGCAAAAAGGAATATGGCCATTCAGGTGACTGATCAATATCGAACTCTCGACTCGTGCCTTAATAAGTTCAGCTGTCTGTCTCCAAGCTTACTATCCCAACAGGAAGGCAATAAGAAAATCCACAGAAACTTTACCAAGCTAGTATCTTGAAGAAGGCAAGTGATACAAGATCAAAAGCATCGGCATTGGTCAATCATGCGATGGATCATATCATTTTTAAATAATAAGCAATAAACCGTGTCTTCGCTGTTACCACATAGAACGGTGGACGTACCGATGTTAGAAGAAAGTGGTCGTGGTCATAACAGGCAGTTTGTTGCCTGTACCAAGCCTCAGCAATTTTATGCTGTTATTATTTAGGTCATTAAGGCTGTTCCACTTTTTAGTGTCTTTTCCGATATGTGCTAGAAATCGCCCACTGGAATGACGGATTCCGAATGACACTTCGCACAGAGCACCACCTACTTCCTCAAAGAATAACTCATATTTTCTCTTTAAATTAAGGGCAGAGACCTCTAACGTGGTCAGAGCTTAAGCGTGTTGAGACTTCAGTAAAATGATTGCTGTTCTTCTGCTGACGGGCTTTTATTCAATGATTCTAATCTTAACAGCAACACCGGCCTAAGCACGTTTGCCTGACTCGACACCTGGCTAGAATAGCTTCGACCCACAGATATTCAGAATTCCAAAAGAAAGAAAGAAAGTTCACTTGCATCCAATAGGAAACTTGGGGCCTCATCAACTAGCTCCTGCTCGTTCTGTTCGAGTCAGGAAATGATCCAATTGCTTACTGTGGGTTCCCACTGTCTATACTTATCAAATCGAGTCATCTGACGTGATGCAACATCATCGCGTTCTCTGCTTCCTCCATTCAGAATGGTCACCTGTTCCACTGCTGACTGGCATCTTCGTCTTTTGCCTGTCGATATTCGGCAGTCGTCGCAGTCCTGTGACGCTTACCACGAGAAATGTGAAGCAGGTTACCATGGTCACATTAGTAAACAGCTTGGTAACCGAAGAATGCCCACTGAGTCGGTATAAAGCTCGATAAAAGCCGTAGCATGGGAGGCAGATGGTTAAGTTCTAGGGAGAAAAACTCGTTAAGTTTCCCAACCCTCCTTCATTCTCACCTGGAATTTGGACGCACACATCGGTGGAGTTATAGTAGCGTTATTCATCATACACAATAGAAAAATGCTGCTGTACGCTGATAGCAAACCCCTTTGCTTATGTGAATAAACTTTCTTTTTTATGTTCCTCATTTATGAATGAGAAAAGCATGAAACTGTCGAACTGTGAATGATTGCACATATCTTCAAACGCGTTATTTTTTCAAACAAGAAATTCAGTTTAGAAGATGGTCTACGGACATATGATGCCGAAATACCCCCTGGCAGACTTTTCGGTTAATCTGTACCAGCATGCAGGGACATCGTCAGAGTCAATGTGTCTTTCTCCTCTGTCGCTGTCGTTGGCACTGGCGATGATCTTCTACGGATCTGCCGGAAATACAAAGTCACAAATAAAGGGTGCCATGTTTGGATTTTCGTCTACTGACCAGCAGGTGTCGACATATATGGGTGAAGTAATGAAGACGATTAACAGCACGGATAAAACGTTTATTCTATACGCTGTGAACAGGCTGTATATCAACAAAAAATACAATGTGTCCGATTATTACCGTAACAAGGTGAAAGATAAGCTGAACTCAGATATCGCAATGGCAGACTTTTCGAATCCCAGAAAAGTCGTATCCGAAATCAACCACTGGGTTGCGACTGCGACTCATTATAAGATCAAAGACCTAGTAACAACCAGCTCGTTCGATGCGAATACTCGCCTAGCGGTCATAAACGCTGTTTATTTCAACAGCAAATGGCTGAAGGAGTTTTCACCTCATGATACTTCGAAGGGAACCTTCTACGTCTCCATGGACCGCAGAATCGAGGTAGATATGATGTCTCAGAAAAAGCTCTTTTCCTACGGCGAAACAGCCGAATGCCAGGTTTTGGCAATGCGATACATTGGACCTTTCATGTCGATGGTTGTTCTACTTCCGAAAGAGCGGTACGGCTTAAGGAGGTTTGAGGAAGCACTGACGGCTAGAAAGTTAGTTCAGCTACTGTCGTCCACCACCAGCACAACCGTTACGGTAAGTCCAAATTTTTGAACGTGAATATTCTCCTTCGTTTCTCTTAACCGGCCGTGATTTCGTTTACCAGGTGAAATTTCCAAAGTTCCAACTTCAATCAAAATTAAAGCTGAATTCGATCTTTGAAAGCATGGGAATAACCGACATGTTCAGAAAAACGGCAGACCTTGCGGCGATCACCGGAAAGCCTGAACTGTTCGTTTCTTCAGGCGTACATGAAGCTTTCATTCAGGTATCTCGGAAACGTGTTACGATATTACAAACAGAAACTGTCACCTGTCACTACACCCTCACTGCATTCGTCATACTTCCACAAGATCTTTGCGCAATCCATCAGTGTACTGAATTAAATACCATTTATTCGACTTGGTACTTACCTTCGCCTTAACGCAGCTGTCAATCTAGTTTTATCCAGCTATCGGTCAATGACGGTCACGGTGTCCTCTGTATAACTATATTATATCAAAAGTATTTTCAGGTATACAAAAGCATGCGGCTATGTATAATCCGGTTTCTGGGATGTCTCCCGTACAGTAGGAAATGGCATCTCTCCTTTGTGTGAATGAGATCAGGTTAAATGGATAAACGCATTTTACCGGCCCTGATGCAAATATGCATAGGAGGACAAGCCGCAGCTTTATGACTTTTCAGCACCTGCAGAACCAGCTACATCTTTCATCACCTCGTTCCTCAAGATCGATAGCTCAAAAGCGGGTATCTATGAACTTCCCAAAGGCTTCCTTTCACCGCACATTCCGCCAAGTCTTGGTCTTAATTTTTTTAAGCGGCACTACGTGACATTTGAGAACCTCCAAGACGGATTTTGAAAATAAAGTCACACAGAAAACGGCCAGGTCCAGCTCGTTCAGCTATATTAAATATCAGGCATTTTTCAGCTTTAGAGTCCTACCGCTGTGCATAATCGATTGGCAGAGGATCGAGTCTTCTGTAGACCCTTCAAACACTTTGTGGCAACTCAAACGATCACGGGGTTTTAAAAATGGATGGATGAATTTAACTTTCAAGAGGTCGCTTGTTTATGTGCTTGAGTTTTAGAATTCAATTAATTCACTCAGAATTTGCTTATTCACTCATTTTCAATAATTTCTGTTATTTACGGGAAACAGTCTCGAAAAGAGTTTTGCTTTCCCGCCTTCGTTATGACAAGCTCCGATAGATTGAGATGTTTTACTTATAGGTTGACGAAAGAGGAACCGAGGCAGCGGCAGCGACCGGATTTGAAATCATGCCAATGGCTGCAGTTCCTAATCAAGAGGTCCGCTTCATCGCTGATCATCCGTTCATGTTTGCCATAATTGACAAGAAGCACAACAACATTCTGTTCTTGGGAAGATACGTCGGCAGAAGTTGAGTTCTTCACATCATCGAAGAAGAGGGCTTTAATTTTTTTAATACTTATCGGCTGCTTCAAGGGTTTCAAGTAAAAGTAAAGCAAATAAATTTAAACTAATGGTTGATCGTTGTAATACTGTCAGTGATGAAGATGATTTGCACGGAGCTTAGGAAGCCACATCACCTCCAAAATCAGAAATTGACAGAGAAATATTTTTGGGGAAATGTTGGGACAATTGACGTAGCCATTTTGAAGGTGCTGCTCGGTTGAAAATGATCTGAACTCCTGCCTTGGGGGATCGACATGCAAATAAGTCATCACACGACATTGACAGAAATGCGCGAAGAAGCTGAAAGAATATTTACCAGTGGTTTTAAAAATCCATCAAAGTGAGAAAAGCGCGAGTCCCTTGCCGAAGATCAGGATGAACATTCGCTTAGCATGTTTTTGAATGAACCATCTTTGAAAACCAGTCTATATGAACGTGCACTTCGTGAAACGATAAATCATATCCATTGACATTTGCCTAAAACTGTCTAGTTTGTTGTCTGTTAAAATTCAAAGCAACGTTAGGTGTCTCATAGTGACGGTGCCTATTGTCAACACCTTCAAGTACAATCTTAGCAGCGACGGGGTAACACATTGACGGTTGATGTGAGACATTCCAACCAACTGCGGATGAACAGCTATTTAATCCCAGTAAAATGACAGACGACTTCAACTCTACCCACGGTTTCGGTGACAAATTCGCTATCGCCATCGAAAACACCCGCTAATGATTTGGAAGTGCCAGTCAAAACCAAAACTAAATTGAAGAATGATCTTGAGTGATCCGTTCACACAAGACGTCATCAAATCATACATGAATTAGAAATTTAATAACATTAGTAGAAACCAGATTGCGGTTTCTTGATCGGCTGTCCTGTTGATTTGTCTTGGCCAAAATCTAAATCGATCATATTTAACGCTGGCTTTAATTCCTTGTACGTCTCACCATAAATTTGAAACTCACTAAGAGGCGTGGTGGTAAGGAGACCTGCCTTGAACTCCCGAGGTATCGAGTTAGGGTTTAAATTCGCTTAAGGAACAATCTTTATCCAAACTCCCAATTCATTTGAGCGAATAGAATAATTAACCCAAATTTGATTTGGTGCAACCAGCCAAGAAACGTGTAGCAACCTCCCTTGGGCATATCAAACTATAAACTCACGGAATAATCAATCACGCAAGTTCCCCTGACCAGTAACCTCTTGGAGTTGGGTTAAAAACAAACATTCGCTCTGTAGGTCATCTACTGTCCATAACCAGCTTTCTCTTGGCTAGTTTTAGCGGCAATTATCTGTTGCCTACCTGCGTTGACTTATCGCACTGTGACGATGATTACGAGTATCCGAAAGAACGATGCAGCAGGTATAAGGGAAAGTTAAAACTTGCAGCCCTCACAGCCCTAAAGTATCAAAGAAAAATTCAAAAAATCGAGATACAGAGATTTCGACCCATCCGTACAACGTCCATCACTATAGCTAAAAATTCTTCTTGACGACATTTGGAGCCCGTCAAGAAATTACCAACAAGAACATAATAAATATTTTTATATTACCGCCATCTTCATAAACACCAAATTTTGAAACACAAAAAATAAAATGAAAACTAAGATGACAACAGAGTAGAAGTCTCAGAACAGTTGCAATGAATATGATTCATCTGAATCGCGAAAGACGCAAAAGATATAAAACGCATCTGGCACAGACGGACAAAACGGAAAAGATCTGAATTCGGATCTGCAGGATGGTCGTCGTCAGCGTGTTCGACACTCAGAAGAGATGATCCACGACAGAATGCGTCGCAGAGCCAAGCACGATGTCTCGATTGCTGCTGCTGGACGACAACACGAACAGAGGAATTGAACAACAGCAGTGGTGCAAGCAGCAGCAGTTTCCCACGACGAATCTTCAGCAATGAACAACCAACCGACCAGAAGATGGCTGCTGAACACCGCCTTCACTATACACCGATTAAGCGCAGTAAAAATCTGTTGGCCGCCAACGTGATCGGCCATTGACACTTTCGTGCACGGTCTTCTAAATGCATTTCGAAGAACGCCATACTTTTCACCTCGCCTAGCTTTGTTTCGTTTAATCACTCGTCACAAAATCACAGGCATACAGATGGCAGGAGGACCATAACCTCAATTTTCGTTCCGGCAACGGCAATGCAGTCTGTCATTAATTATCATCAACAACGACGCCTACAGTTGGTACCACTTCTTGTTTTTACACTTCAACATCAATTCGTGAGCATGCTCCGAATAGGTCTTTGCCGAATCCAACACCATTCCAGTTTTATCCTCGACTTCGCCCAATTTTTCGCCACGTTCTTGAAATGCCTTAAACAACTGTCAGAAATCACAAAAAAAACTGACCAAAAACAAAATTTATTCACATACATTAACATTATTGTTAGCTGCATGAAAGGCAGTATCGATTAGTTGCCAAATTGAAAACAAATTATGAACTTCGCTTCCCTATCCATGTTTCACGGCAGCAGTCAAAAAGAAAGAGGACAAATCCTTTATTTATCGACGAGTTTTGATGCCGCACACCAGCATCATAACATACAAGAAAAAAAGCATCAAATAATGAAATCTGGTCTCAGAAAAATCACTAGCTATTTAACAAAACGGAACGACGCAAAATGCAAAATAGTTATGCTACGTTTTAGAGAAAGCTTATTTTGTTCCAGTCATTCTTTCGAACAAAATAAACGATAACTTTCCAGCTGCCACTCAAACTCAATGGGGTCAAACATCCTTTATACAACAGACTTTTGTTAGGCAGCATATGCAGAGATTCTTTAGTTCTAATTCATAGCCCGATGTTGGTTGCCTCCTTATGAACAGATATAATGAAAAAGCACGAAGGGTAGGAGGCGATGAGAGAATGTTTCGCATTACTATTCCTCGCAGCTGCTTGATGTTCCACGTGATTTTCCCAATGAGAAGTTATCGCAGCATTAGTACACGATTTTATAAACCACGTTCATATCTTTCGTTCTCTTCGGTTGTTGCAGTAAATCTGCGAGCCCTATGAACCGGAAAATAAAACATTATACATCGTCCATTTCTACTGTTGTCTAGAACCATGAACTGGGAAGCGAAGACTTATCTGTTATCAACATTACATATTATTTGACTGATGGCTATAACGTAACGAAACACCGAAGACAGATAAAACCCGAAGATTCTACCTGAAGTGTTAATAGAATGCGCGTTCTAAAGTAATGAGAATTTTTTGCATGGGTGACTTCAAAATCTATTCAAGAAAAGGTGCGAAACTGCAACATGGTCCAGAAGCAATGAAACATTGTCTATAGATGATAATCAGGCTCATCGTTACACACTGAGGTTAAATTAATATATAACCAATACATATAACACTACAAGAAAAAACAGTTCATAGAACGACACAACAGACATGACGAAGCATAAGGAAGAGAACCATTATTCAAAGGTTTTATGTTGTTTCAGAAACAACTCAACAGATTTTCAGAGTTAAATATAAGAAACAGCTTTACTGTTAGGATTCGAATGTTACACTGTTCGTAAGACACTGCGGTGACATCAATACATTCACATGAGAACTATGCAGTCTGTCTCTGCTGTAACAAGCAACATCACAGAGAGGACTCAAAACGGCGTGAAATGAGGGATTAGTAGAAAAAATCTCCCCAATCAAATGAAAAATAAATAATATAGTAGCCATGACAGAGACCCAGAAAAAAAGAACGCAGCCTAGTAAGGTGCTGCTTGACTCTGAGTACAGCTCAGCAAAATGATGAATTGCTAAAATGCCAAAATCACAGAGGATGCGTATTTTGATGAAAATGTACAAACGAAAGAAAACAACACCTAAAGAAAAAAGTTTTACACCATGTCAGTCAAAATCAACAATAGCCAGTGTCGCCTTTGTCCCAAGACCGGTCTTCAAAACACACAAAAACAAATCACGGACATTCACACAGTCTTTTACGCAAGGTTCATGATAGGATATCATAGTCGAGTATAAGAAAGACTCTGATGAAAGAAATGCATACTTGGCTTATCCAGAATGTGCGTGAAACAGTGACAACAATACTACGAAGTATATTTGGTGTAATAGAAAAATTCTCTGCAGGTAAGGATCCGTCAAGGATGAGCAGTGAGCTGATCTCTGTTCTCGACGGCATCATAAGCTCTGATTAATGATCTACACAAAAGCTGTTCCTTATTGTAGCTTCAATTTACATATAGGTGTAGCGTTCTGTATTGAAAACAAATAAGCAGCAAAAGTAGAGATCAACTGTAGAAAGCCACTGGATCAGTTTCAATAAAACTGAACAGAGGATGTTTGTAACATCGGAGAAAAGCGAGCCAACAGAAAGCAATCCACGAAAGTACAGACAATCTTTTGCCCATAACCCAGCGTTACAGAATTTCCATTCTATGATACAAGACAATGAAGAAACAAAGTGCAAAATAAAAGTCAGTCCAAAAAAAATCTTGCATCGAATGGAAAGGAAGAAAGGAACCGTGATAAGAAACGCATTTCAAACTAAAGCGAAAGGTGTATAAAACTACAAAAATATGTACTTTCGCATGAAGCCATGTGACCGAATATGAAACGAGGGGAGCAGCAGCTTTACTCCGTCAAAATGCTTTTCCTCAGAT